GCACAGACGATTACGCCCCCTACCACCACTGCTGGCCACCAGGAACCCACAGGACTGGCCCCCAGGGCACAAGGTGAAAAGGTCAAGATCACAAGCTGTCTTTTTTTTTTTCTTAAGATTTATCTATTTTTATTGGAAAGGCAGATATATAGAAAGGAGGAGAGACAGAGAGGAAGATCTTTCGTCCGATGGTTCACTCCCCAAGTGGCCACAATGGCTGGAGCTGAGACAATCTGAAGCCAGGAGCTTCTTCCGGGTCTCCCGCATGGGTGCAGGATCTCAAGGCTTTGGGCCGTCCTCAGTTGCTTTCCCAGGCCACAAGTAGGGAGTTGGATGGGAAGTGGGACTGCCGGGATTAGAACCAGCATCCACATGGGATCCCAGTATGTTCAAGGCAAGGACTTAAGCTGCTACCACTATTGCACTCAGCCCAAAAGCTGTCTTCTTAAACTTTCTGCTCCAACATCTAGTTTATCTCCTTTCAAGAACCTCATTGTTTTGACTATGCATGCGCCTTAAGTTCTCGAATTCCACCTATCATGCATTGCTCAGCTTCCCTAACTAACCGTTGGCAGGTGTTACTGCTAGTGTCCAGCCTATGAGGTGTAAGCCAGCAATGGGCATGTGACTCCTGGGGCCACTGCTTAAAGGAAGAGGGTGTGATCTTTCTGGACTCTCCCTTCTCTTCTTTCTTGCTGATTGGATGTAACCATGATGGCTGGCACTTGACCAGTCCTCTTGGACCATGAGGCAATTCGCTACCTATGGCGAAACAGCAACAATGGGAAGAGCCCGAGTCCTCTGGGACTGAATGCGCTGCTGTACTGGTTCCAGAGTGTGCCTACTTCAAGTCTTTACGACCTCCAACTTGTGGAAGCCGTTGCCCATTTGGAGCTTCCCATTACACGCAGCAAGCCCAACAGCAGCCTGTACAAAGAGGCCGGCCTCCCCACACGCCTCCTAGCAGCCCACGGCTGGCCACCTTGTTTCCACCTCTCTTGGCACTTGGGATCCTGCTGACCTTGCCCGGCCCACAGCCTGTTGGCGGCTCCAGCTTGGACATCACGCGGGCTCCTCTAACCCTAAGGCGGCCAACCCCGGAGCAGCTTTTGCCACTGTTCCTCCTGCGGTAGGCGCTTGGTCAGCAAGAATAGCCCTGCCAGCTGCCCAACTGTTCAAGGCTGAAATCTGCCAGTCATCCCTGCCTGGCACTGTTGCCCTCCTCCAATGCATGCCCATGCTCTCCCTTGGAGTGTTCCAAACCTCCCCAGATGAGCCCTGCTGACCCCGCAGGCCTCTGAGGGGCAATGCTAATAGGCACAGCGAGCCCACACACCAGACACCCAGTGAAACACCTTCCAACTGGACACCTTGCCCATAGAAACCTGTCCAGCACTTGCCAGCAGGTGGTGGCTGTAGGCTGCAGGCCACCCCCAGCCCCAGTGAAGACCCCAACCTTCTCCATCTGCTTCTCCAGCGAATCCAGTGGGTGTGTCCGGGACAGCAGGTGCTTCAGGCGGCCCACCTCCCGCTCCTTCTCCTCGCAGTCCTGCTGCTGCTGCTGCCTCTCCTGCTTTAGTGCCGCAATCTGCGCCTCGTAGCTGCTGATGGAGTCTGCCCGGGTAGGGAGGGTGGGAGAGGCAGGGTCAGCGCACTGGTGGCGGCGGTGGCTGTGGGTTCTGATGACTTCCGCCAGGTGAAACCCCACCTGGCCCAGCCTCGGCTACAAAGGGGATTCTGCTGAGCTATGGGGACAGATGAGACCATCACACACATGAAGGCTTCAACAACCTGGAGCCAGTGCTGTGGTGTAGCAGGTAAAGCTGACGGCTGTGACCTTGGCATTCCATATAAACATCAGTTCAAGTCCCAGCTGCTACACTTATGATCTAATTCCCTGTTAATACATTTGCTTCATGCAAATACATTTAAAAATCTATTTTATTTTTTTTACTTGAAAACAGAGCTTTAGGGAAAACAGAGTAAGAGAGATCTTTCCTCCACTGGTTTACTCTCCAAATGGCTGCAACTGCGAGCTGAAGTCAATTTGAAGCCAGGAGTTTCTTCTGGGTCTCCCACATGAGCGCAGAGGTCCAAGGACTTGGGCCATCCTCCACTGATTTCCCAGCAGGGAGCTAGATCAGAAGTGGCGCAGCCTGGACTCAAAACTGTGCCCGTATGTGATTGCCAGCACCATAGGCGGAGGGTTAGCCTGCTATGTTCTCACAGCAGTAGCCACTTTCTCTATGACTTCCTCATGGACAAATCATTCAAGTGATCCCACAACAAATGCTACAGGCCTGGTCTCCATGATCTGTTCTTACTAATGCATGCTGATAGAGGTGGGTGCTTGGCTTAGTGGATATATCTGTGCTGCTTAGTGGAGTACCTGGGTTCAATCCCTGGCTCTGCTCCTAATTCTGGTATTCCTACTCCTGTAGATCCCGGGAAACTACATGGGATGGCCCAACTACCTGGTTGCCACCCCATGGGAGTCCTAGAGTGGGACGCTGGCTCCTGGCTTTGGTCTCACCCCACTCCTGTAGTAATCCTTTACTACAGGCATCCAGGGAGTGAGCCAGCCTATAAAACCTCTCTCAAGTCAATTAAAAACAAAACAAGAACGCAGCACATGCCTAGCAACTAAATCCTTGCCTTGCACGCACCAGGGTCCATATGGGCACCAGTTTGTGTCCCGGCTGCTCCACTTCCCATCCAGCTCCCTGCTTGTGGCCTGGGAAAGCAGTTGAGGAAGACCCAAAGCCCCGAGACCCTGCACCCACATGGGAGACCTGGAGCAAGCTCATGGCTCCTGGCTTGCTTTGGATCAGCTCAGCTCTGGCTATTGCTGCTATTTGGGGAGTGAACCAGGGAACAGGAAATGTTTCTTTCTCTCTCTTCTTCTGTCTATATATCTGCCCTTCCAATCAAAATCTAAAAATCCTAAAAAAAAAAAAAAAAAAAGGTACCAATGCAACTGCTTAACAGATCCCGCAATAGATGCTCAAGCCAGGAATATGCATTGCTATTCACGTCTTATTGATCCTCATGGTAGAAGAGAAAGGCTCAGCGGCCAGATGGCCCGAGTTCAAAGCTTCTGCCACATTCTAGCTGTATGACCTTGGCCATGTTATTTAATCTCTCTGGCTGCAGGGTTTCCTTGTCAAACAGAGCTGGACACCAGCATGCAGCTTGGCTCCTGGCACACCCGTGCTGAACTGATGCTGGTCAGCTGCCAGTGTTACTGTAGGACACACCTCCATTTCTTCTTTAGCAACTGTCTGTAAACTTTCACAGAGTGGCTCCTTTTTGCAGAACAAACACTCCATGACAAACAAGTCACGTGAGGATGTGACCGCGCTGCTGATCAGCGTGGGGCTACCCTGGGAACAGCAGCCCGCCCGGAAGAAGTCTGGAGCCACGGAATGGTGCTCAGGAAGTGCCAACCTGCTGCTTGGGATGCAGGTCCAGGACCCAGCACCTTCTGCTTCCTGCTAACCCATCCTGCAACACAGCGGATAACGACAGGCATGCCTGGGTCCTGCCCAGCCACACGCACGGGCAACCTTCTGGAGGGCTGGGCTTCTGGCTTTGGTGTGGCCCAGTCCTGGCTGCCGGCAGCATTTGGGGAGTGAACCCCAAAGACTCTCTCTGTCTTTCTTTCTCTTTGCTTCTCAAATGAATATATAAACTTCAAGAGAAGGCGTTGGGTATGATGATAGGGGGATGAGAATCAGAAAATTTACCCTGGGATCCAGCTGTTAGAGCACAGCAGGAGATGGGTGAGAGGGTTAATCCAGGAGGCAGGTGACCAGGGCCTGCACAGCAGGGGCAGTGGGGGCTGCACTGCTTCAGCTCACCAACATCACCCCTCCCTGGAGCGGGGTGGGAGAGCTGATAAGAAGCTGGGAGGTCACGGGACAGGGGATGGAGGGAGGGGAGATGGGGCATGGTGGGGAGGGGTGTGTGGGGAGGGCAAGAAGCCAGAGGATGACGCCAAGACACCTGGCCTAGGGTTCGGTTTGGGGAACTGAGAAGTTTCTTGTCCCACATTCAAGGGTTGATCAGTCATCGGTGAGACAAGAAATGATCCAGCAGGGGCTTCGAGCTAAACCAAGCTGTCACTGCCAGTGGCTGCAGGGGGGAGGGGAGCACACTCTAGGAAAATTCAAAAGAGGGGGGCCCCCAGGAGCACCTCACAAGTCTGGCTTGCCTGAGCCCCTCCTCCGCCACCCGTGCGGCGCACTGTCCCTGTGTGCCCACCACGTCCGCTCACCTTTCAGGATGGCCTGCAGCGACGCCACCTCCTCTTGGCACTGCCGCTGCACCGCAGCCACGGCTTCAGCCTTCGTGCTCTCGCTCACCTCCGCCACGGCCTTCATGGTCTCCATTTCAGCCAGGGCGCCCGCCAGCTCAGCCCGAAGCCGGCCCAGCTCACCTGAGTCGGTCTCCACCTCCGGCCCATCCCGGGACCGGGGATCCAGCGCTGTGGGGGAACGACGGTCAGACTCTCTTCCATCCCTGGTGCTCTGCACGCCACCCGGGAGAAGCCCCCAAAGCTGCGGACCCCCGACCTTCACGAGGCCCCGCCCCTCACCTGGCCCCGCCCCCGGCCCGGCCACCTGGCTGGGCCTCGCGACGCCTTCAGCCCGCCTCCTCCACGCGGCCCTCCTCGGGTCACCCAATCCCCTCGAGGCTCGGACGCCATCCCTCCTCGGCCCTCCCTAGGGGTCCACCTCTCACCTGCCCCCGGCGCCACCCCGAGGCGCCAGGCCACGCCCCCTCCGCCGGGAGCCCGGGGCCCCGCCTCCCTGTCCAGGCTCCCTTCTCCACCCCCCGCCACCTGCACCGGGCGCCGGTCGAGCCCGGAGCCCCCGCCCCGGCCGCGTGCATGGCCGAGCCCTCACATACCGGCCCCCGGCCGCCGCCGCTGCCGCCCGTCCTCACCCGCGGCCGCCGGCGCAGCCGCTGCCATTGCCTCGGCGCAAACGGCGGATTCCCGCACTCCTTGGTGACGGCGCTCCCCGCTTCCGGGTCCGCTCGGATGTTTCCGGATCCGCTCGGCTGTTTCCGGACCGGCCCCGGGCTCGAGGTCCCTGCGGGAAGCGGAGGTGGGGGACAAGGGCGGGCGGGGGATTGCCGAGCGTCGGCCGAAGATTCCCGAGCGCACGTCCAGGCCCCGCCCTCCTCCTTCTGTCCTTCAGAGAGCCCAGACGTGTTTCTGCAGAGGTGGTCGCTGGCGTCTGGCCGTGACCTTCCAAGTGCTGCTCGGATTACACTCTGTCCGGGACGCAGGCCCAGGCGCTCTCCACGCCCCTCCCCGAGCCGCCTCCGACCGGCCCCTGGCCGCCCTTCCGCAGCAGCTTGGCTCAGGTTACAAAGCGAGCTGGGGCCCCTCCGCCCTGCCCAGCGTCCCTGGGGCCTGGGCTGGGTCGGCTTCGCTTCTGCGGGCGCCACCGAGTGTCCACGTAGTCGGTCGTCCGCGTCCCAAACTTCCACGTCCCTATCCCATCCCCCTGGACGTCAGTCTTAGCTTCCTGCAAATCCCCCCTCGTCCCCTCCCAGCGCCTCTCAAATCCCTCCTCTGCTCCGTCCTCGGGGTCAAGCCTTCCTGACATGCGCCCCAGTCCTTCAACTCTTAAGCAATGCCAACTTGGGGGTCCCCTGCCCCGAAACTATGCTGCGAATTTGTGATTCCTGGCTTCCTGCAAGTTCTGTCAACTTGCCTTGTGGTGCAGAGAACATTTCAGAAGGTGCCCGCTTTCCTCTGTCTCCAGTTGTGACACCTATTCGCTCCACAAGTGGTTCATGACCTCCTCTGCAAGCCCTAACACACACACACACGTTAGGCCCCTTTCGCGAATGCTGCTTCAGGCAGTTGGAATAATTTTGTAAAGCAGACATGATGTCTCGTGCCTCTTTAAAAACTCAGTCATGCATTTTGAAAATGGTCCCATCTCCTCCAAGAGATTGCTCAGAGGCAGCGGATGGGCTCCGGAATGGCGGTGGAGCATCAGTAACAGCGAAGTAGCCGCTGCAGCCAGCAAGAGCTGTGTCACAGAGCTGGAGGGGTGGCTCTGCCAGAGTCGCCCCGCCACACGCTGTGTGCTGTGTTACTGTATTGCTGCTGGACTGTGAAATGGTGCAGCAAGCCCTGGCAGCTCCTAGCAAAGGGAGGCATGGGCTTCCTGGGCATGCTCTGCTTTCCTTCCTTGCATCTCAGGGAGGGCTTCCCTGAAGCCTCTCTTGTTTTTTAATCATCTCTTCATTGCATTTAAAAAATATTCATTTGAAAGCATATTGGCGCAACTGGCTGATCTCCTGCCTCCAAGTGCCAGCATCCCATATGGGCACCACTTCCCATCCCGCTCTCTGCTTGTGGCCTGGGAAAGCAGTAGAGGATTGCCCAAGTCCTTGAGACCCTGTACCTGTATGGGAGATCTGAAGGAAGCTCCTGGCTCCTGGCTTTAGACCAACTGTAGTCATAGCAGAGAATGGAAGATTCTCTCAGTAGGAGGGAGAGACCTTTGGTCGGCTGGGTCACTCCGCAGATGTCTGCGAACATGGGGCTAGGCCAGAGCCAGGAGCCAGGAACGCCATCAGGGTCTCTCACTTGGGTGGCAGGGTCCCAGCTACTTAGGCCATACCCTGTCTCCCAGGCGCCTTAGCACGACACGGGATTGGAGGCAGAGCTAGGACTCAGTCCAGGTATTCCTGCATTGGATGCAGGTATTCCAGGTGCTGGCTTGTCCCACCGTGCCACCATACCTACCCATACAATCTCTGGTGCATTCATCTCTAACAGCTTCTTATTTTCTGAATTAAGCCTGGCTGAGTTTCTGGGGGAAAGTGGGAAATGAAGACTACACATAAGGTTCCAGTCACACCCAGGAGACCCCACTAGTTGCCACCAGGCTTGGATTTCATCCTGTATGCCCTGGGAGCCACAGAAGGCTGCTAAGCAGGAGACAGCACATGACTTGTAAAAGTGACTCTCTCAGGCCTGGCATGGTAGGCCAGTAGCTAACATCCTCACCTTGCATGCACTGGGATCCCATACGGGTGCTGGTTCATATCCTGGCTGTTCTGCTTCCCATCCAGCTCCCTGCTTGTGGCCTGGGAAAGCAGTGGAGGACGGCCCAAAGCTTTGGGACGCTGTACCTGCGAGGGAGACCTGGAAGAAGCTCCTGGCTGCTGGCTTCAGATTGGTTCAGTTCCAGCCATTGCAGACACTTGGGAGTGAATCAGCAAACGGAAGATCTTTCTTTCTGTATCTCCATTTTTCTGTATATCTGACTTTCCAATAGAAATAAATAAATCTTTTTTTAATAAAGATTTATTTATTTTTATTTCAAAGTCAGATGTACAGAGAGAGAAGAGAGACAGAGAGGAAGATCTTCCGTCTGATGGTTCATTCCCTAAGTGAGCGCAATGGCCAATGCTATGCTGATCCGAAGCCAGGATCCAGAAACTTCTTCCAGGTATCTCACATGGGTGCAGGGTCCCAAAGCCTTGGGCCGTTCTCGACTGCTTTCCCGGGCCACAAGCAGGGAGCTGGATGGGAAGTGGAGCTGCCGGCATTAGAACCGGCGCCCATATGGGATTCTGGCGTGTTCAAGGTGAGGACTTTAACCGCTAGGCTACGCCACCAGGCCCGGTTTTATGTTTTTTAAGATTGAATTATTTTTCTTGGAAGGTCAGATTTACAGAGAGAAGGAGAAACATCCGCTGGTTCACTCCCCAAGTTGCTGCACTGGCCAGAGCTGAGCTGATCCAAAGCCAGGAGTCAGGAACCCCCTCAGTGTCTCCCACACAGGTGCAGGGTCCCAAGACACTGGACTGTCCTTACTGCTTTCGCAGGCCACAAGCAGGGAGCTGGGTGGGAAGTGGAGCAGCAGGGACACAAACTGGCGCCCATATGGGATGCGGGTGCTTTAAAGTGCAGGCCCCCTTCTGAGCCATGGCGGCAGCCCAGGGAATTTTCCTTTTAGTTGGATGCGAAGCCTCTGGAAGGTTTTCAAGTGAGGCACTGAGAAGCTCTAGCAGGAACTGAGCTGGGAAACTAGTGTTGAGGCTTGCGGGAGGATGTGGGGGTCAAGGCCACTGGGGGTCCTGTTACTGTCATCATGGTTTCCCCAGTGCCTCACTCTTTCCCTTCCCAGCACCCCCCTCACCTCAACTCAGCCAAAGGGAAGTGGGGCCCTGCCACCTGTAGCGTCCCCTGGGGTTTGCCTAGAGCAAACAGGAAGCCACAGCACAGTGAGCCTGGCCAGCCAGGGAATCCACAACTGTGAAAGCATGTCTCCTGGGTCCTTGGATCCTTTCCCTGAAAGCCCACAGCAAAGAAAAATGCAGACCTGGCGGGGGAGGCGGGGGGGGCAGGTGGAGTGGGGTGAAGGGGTGAGGTGGGGTGGAGTGGGGTGAGATGGGGAGTCAGGCCTCCTAGATGCTGTCACCAGCTCTGTGTGTGACTTCGCAAAGCCTCCAGTTCTCCATTAAAAAAAAAAAAAAGATTTATTTATTTGAAAGGCAAAGGTACAGAGAAAGAGAGAAGAGAAAGAGATCTGCTATCCACTTGTTCTCTCCCCAGATGACTGCAACATCCAGCACTGGGCCAGGTTGAAGCCAGGAGCCAGGAGCTTCCTCTAGGTCTCCCATATGGGTGCAGAAACCCAAGCACTTGTGCCATCCTCCACTGCCTTCCCAGGCAGATCAGCAGGGATCAGAAGTAGAACATCTGGGACATGAACCAGTGGCCCTATGGGTTGCTGGCATTGCAGGTGACGGTTTTTACCCAGTATACCACACTGCTGCCCCATTTCCCCATTTCTAAAAAGGCTCCTTCCGGAACTGTAGCAGGGGCTTCCTGGGGGTGGGGGTTGGGGGACGGAAAGGGGAGGGCATAGCTGCTAAGAAAAGGGTGGTGAGGCAAGCTTTCCTCAGGATGAAGTTGTGTGACCCTGGCCGTCCCCAGGCAGCTGCCAGCCTCTTCTGACTTTCTGTGTGTTGATGGAGTTATCCCCAGAACAAGCTCTCATCACCTCCAGTTCAAGGAGAAGAAAACTTGCCTGAGGTTTGAACCCAGGCTGTCCTGCGTTGAGCTCTCTGCTATGAATTAACTGAAGGCCTGCTGTGTGCTCAGCACTGGACTAGAAATACGGACATATGTTGTCCTCTCTGAATCTTCATAAACCATATTGAAAATTTAAAAATATATTTCTGGGATCCATGTAATAGCTTAACTAACTAATTCTTTGCCTGCAAGCACCAGCATCCCATATGAGCTCCAGTTCATGTCCCAGTGGCTCCAGTTCCCATGCAGTTCCCTCCTTGTGGCCTGGGAAAGCAGCAGAGGATAGCATCTATGTGGGAGACCAGGAAGAATCTCCTGACGTTAGACTGGCTCAGCTCTGGCCAGTGCAACCACTTGGGGAGTGAACCAGCGGGTAGAAGATCTTTCCCTCTCTGTCTCTCCTTCTCTCTATAAGTCTATCTTTCCAACTTAAAAAAAAGTCTCTAAAATTTTTTCTATTTTATTTGAAATGAGAGAGAGAGAAAGAGAGAGAGACTGTCCCTCTGTTGGACTACTCTCCAAATACTCATAAATAACATCTAGGGCTGGGATGAGTTGATGCCGCACACAGAGAATTCCACCTGAGTCTCCCACATGGCTGGCAGAGACCTGCTGCCTCCTAGGGTGTGCATTCGCAGGAAGCTGGATCAGAGGCAGAGCAAGGATTCCAACCCAATATGGATACGGGCATCCCAGGGAGTTATCCAAGCACTGCCCCCAAATGGCTGCCCTTGTGATGTTTTTATTGGAGCTTTGACTTACTGAGCCACAAGGTGCAGGTAGGAGATTCCAGCTCAGGTCTGCCACATCCTAGAGTTGAGGGAGATGGGTGTATGGGGGTAGGAGGATCTTTGAAGTAATGCTTCGGATGCCTCAGTGGGGAGCAGGTGGAGTAGAAAACAGGAAATTGAAGCCGTTCATTCACTGAATAGTTCTCAGGATAGTCTGAGAACAACGCAGCAGCACCACCGTAGGGCTGGTGCACAGGGAGGTGAACAAAACTACAGCTCTCCTCCCCCAGGGACTCACACACTAGTGAGGTCAATAGGAGTGAACAAACACACACACACACACACACACACACACACGATTGGTGCTCAGGGTGCTGAGCATCGGGGATGAAAATAAGACAAGAGGAAACAAGTCGTGTGGGTCGAGAGCCGGGCTTGGGAGCCGGGAGCCCAAGGCGTGACCGCCCCTTCCTCTCAGAGGGGACTGCCTACTCGCCCCCACAGATGTCCATGGTTCAGTGCCCCCCAAGCCCCAGCCTACCCCAGCATCCCCTGCGCGCTGAAGCTGGGTGCCCTGGGGAGCCTGGCCACCATGCCACCTCCTCTCCTCCTCTTCTTCGTCCTCTTCCTCACCCCGATGGGAGTCAGATCTCTGGAACCAGTGATGGTGGAGGTGGAAGGTAGGTAGAAAGGACAGGGAGGGAGGGAGGGCAGCTGGGAGTGGAAGCTTGGGTTTCGGGCTGGGTGCCCTCCGTAGGGTAGCCTGCCTTCTCTGAGCTTCTATTACACAATTCAAGGGATGGTTTGGAAGGATGGAGGGGAAGGCTTAGCTATTCCTGGTTCTTGCCAGCGGGGTGGGGTGGGGAGGAGGACTAGGTCTCTCTCTCTCTCTTTCTCTTTCTCTCTCTCTTTCTCTCTTTAGAGGGAAGTGACCTCATGCTGCCGTGCCTCTTGAACCTCTCAGATAGTTCTCCTGATACACTGACCTGGTATCGGGAGTCAAACTCCTTTTTAGAGCTGAGTCCGGGGACCCC